GCTCTGCACGATCCAGCAGGTTGCCGAGACCGGCTGAGCAACGGTAAAAAAAGCCAAACAGGTCCATAAGGGCCGAGGCGTTTGACTCGCCCAACTGCCCGCTCGCGGTTAGTGAATTGACTTAATAGGCCCGGAGGCGCGTTGCATTTGACATACCGCAAGCAGACTCGCACAGTATCCATAAGACATCTGAGCAGCGAGGTGGCTGTCGCCCGCGAACTGCTCGATCCCTGAATCGAAGGAATGCACACGCTCGACAAACAAGGCCGCCCACACAAGGGCCTTGTCATAACTACTCCCCTCGGGTGGCAACTTCTTCATCCTCTCGCACCGAATCCACTCCAGCAGGCTAGCATAGTCCGTATCGGATACCTGGGAGGCCGTAAGGTCGTCACTTCCCCGGTGTGCAAGCGAATTGACTACTTCGAGGAGAGTGGTGCCTTCTCCACTGGACTTCATAGTTGCTTGCTGGTGCTGACTGAGGTGCTTCTTCATGGTTATATTCGCGTGCTGCTCCAGCGGGTCCGATGTCCGCTGTAAACCGAGAAGAGATGTGGATGCTAGAGGAGGTAGGCCATGTGGTACTGAAGCCATGGTTGGCCGTATTTCTTTGTCGTTTTATCAAGTTATAGAAGATTATGGGAATAATGAGGTAACAAGGTTATAGTTAGGGGTATTTTCCACCCCCAGACTGGAGACGAGTACTTTTTTCTTATATCTTTACTCTTCCCCCTTTGTTCCATGATAATGCCTCCATTGCCTTTCGCAAAGTCCACGACGTCAGTATGAGGCAGCTGCGACTCAAGGGTTAGCTACTGCATGGTAGTGGCGTCGCAGCTTCATAGGATATTCGGAGCCTGACAGTCGATTAAGTCATATTTGCGACGAAGGCGTGAATGGGGGTAGGGCGACAGAAGATCCTTGAGAGCCCTTCTCTGGACAGAGGCAAGTTTTCTGAGCCATCCTTGGCAAATAGAGGCGTGCTGTTATAAGCTGAGCTCGATTAAGTTTGCACCGCGGATTTGAAAAGCTGGAAGGCTGCCTCGGCCAGTAAAGCAACGACATAGAACAAGCATGAATGTGATGTCGGGTCGGTACGGGGAAGCTCCCGTGGTCACGAACCGCTCCGATTGCAGATCCACATGGGTACCACAACAAGACATCCATGGGCATGGCCAATGCACCCATGGCTATATGTATTTGGAATCATGGTGTGAATGGAAATATCAATCTTGAAGCAGCTGGTAATGTATCAAACGAGCACCCTGTCCTCTCTGCCAATTTATTAAACATTAGCAGGAACACCATAGTTCAGAACACTCTTAGTCAAATAGATCGTCGAAGCTAAGCTCCAAGTCAACCACGACCATTATTTTAGTATACTTCAGGGTAGACCCGTTCATTAACATGAAGGGGGGGGATGATGATATGAAATGAATCCCTACCATATCCAGAATTATGATGCAATGCGAGCGTAATAACCTCGGTTGGAGATGGAATTACCTTCAAATATTGGGAGTGGCCAATATGCGAGCCGATAAAATTACGACATTCATGTCTCCACCCCGTCCGTCGCGTCCAACCTCATTTCAAACCCGCCTGCCGCATGGAAACCACGGAACCATGGCGAAGGTAGAACATCAAACTTTATTTTCACGTCAGAGAAAAGATAATATTAGCTTCCCATGTACGTGTGCAATGATCAACTAACAGAAGTACTACCCATTTTACATGCGGTGGCGGTTTAACGTCATGACATCGAAAGGCACTACAGGCAAGTGGATTTCATCATTGAGGTCATGTCCAAGTGCATCTGAGAACTAGAAAAGAATAAAGATCGGAGTCTGCCACTTTGAAAATTGCTGTGTTTTACGGGAGCTCCGAAGTACACTACAATCCAATTGGGCAACTCTCGGGAATTCGTCACGGTTCGCTTGATTGTCACTCTGTAGCTCTCTTCTCATCGTCCGGAAGCTCCGCGGCCAACCAGCCTTCCCAATTCTGCAATGTGATCCGCTCTTCATCTTGTATCCAGTCGAAAGAACCACAGACATTTCCCTCTCTATCCCTCTTGTCTCCCCATTTCATCTGGGCCCAAATCGCCAACCGCTGCTGCAATGATCCATCGAGAGGCGTGTATTTGACCAAATGATGACAGCACTATTGGCATGCACTATGCCACCTGCACTCTTCATGATCCCGGATGCCCATAAAACCCTCATTGACTCCAATCATGGTTGGGAGAAAAAGGAAAATACCATGTTGATCCAGGTATTAAGTTGTGCGCTAGGTCTGTTGGGTGTCAGAAGTGATTATACGCAGAAGTTCTTGCTTGCTCAAGCTTGTAGGTCTAATCGGTTTTCAGTGGTACGAGCTGACCAGCTGAACCAAGGCCCAAATGATGAAACTGGGTCCATTTACGTATCTGTCGCAGGAGAGATCCCGAGACGCGGACCTGTTTGACGTAAGAATCCACCAAACCTTTTCTAATTTGATAGTAGCAAGTGTGGTAGAGATGACGCCAGTGGGACTACTTGCAAAGAAAGGAGTGCACTGGAAATTTCCGAATTGCGTAAGAAGAGGAAGAGAACTATCTAATGTGCGCTGGGACTAAATATCGGTATTTATATATAAGTTTAACGCCGATAGTATGCTACAGAAGTTTAAAGTAAGAATATATTTTCGAGGTAATCTTTAATAGTTATCTATAAAGGAAAAGAGAGCCGCTATACTAGCTATTAAGATAGCGAGGGCTATCTTTATACTAGTAGCTATATTTCTAAACTTAGTACTATAAAGTAAGGTATAAATAAAGTCCCCTCTAGGATTCGAAGTATTAAATCAATACTAGCTACTCTATATAGCGCTATATAGATTACGTACGTTACTAGGACTAAAATAATAAGAGTCTTAGATGGCCGCACGAGGGTTCGCCTAGAAGACCGTTCTCGCTTCCTGGGATACCGACACTAGACCTCTGCATAGCCCATAAAGCCCATAGCCCAACCCAACCCAACCCACTAATGGGTTGGTCTTTGGACTGGGGGTCTGGGCCCATTGATGGGCTATGCAGAGGTCTAACCGGCACCAGCCCATCCACGCCCACGAAGTCTGTATTCCGAAAGATATGAGTGGTGAGTTCGGCGGGAAGTCATTGAAACGGATCCATTGTAAACGTTGTATATAAGAATTCGAAAGACAAAAGAAAAGAAAAGACGAGGAAATGTCTGTGAAATGGAGAGGCTTGAGGTACGAGGGTCCGAATCGTGCCCCACGGTTGATCGCCTGGAGACAGGGTCCACTAGATTAGTGTGCTAAACCAGGGGACATAACATAGATTGACATACGTATGAAGTTATTTGACTTTCGCACTTCTATCCTTTATCGCTGTGTAGACGTACTACATACCCGTATGCATCTTTCAAGTTTGGAAATTTGGAAACAAAAACCCCAATGACTAGTTTTTGTCCACTTCGATTTGTTGGCCCCATGGATGTACCACGCCCAGGAAACTAGCAATGTGATTTTCTGACTAGAAACTAGACTTCATTATGCAGTGTGTCTCCGAGATCATTTACGACTTTTAACAAGTCTTAGCCATTCTAGTTTTATATTGGAAAAATTATGTCAAAAACCTTTATAGTAATGAGCACCAACTAGAGTGGCAAAATGCTGTTCGAGTTGGAAGTATGGAGTTCATTGCATTTACGAATATCTAAGACGACAGAGATGTCGCTCAAAAGTGAGGGATTTATCAAGAAGATAATCATTCAAGCCGCTGAGGTTGATTTCTCTACACCTTGTCTAAATGCAAATTTGGAGTTATTTTGGACAATATTTCATTGTGCTAGCTACCCATATCTAACGAAGCATCCCATACTACACAGCTATTACTACATACTAAAAACTATTCCTAAATAATAACTAATCCAATCCTAATAAACCGTTGTTAGTACCTCCATAGACCTCTATGGATCGCCGGATCGCCCCGCCGACCCGCAATCTTTTTTTTTTTCTCAGACCAACCTTCAACTCACAACTCACAACAACCATACAATCATACAACCATAGCCCAAGTCAATAGTCAATACTGAGGTATTCTATACCAATGACATCAACCCATACAGACTCCTCCTCCGCCCAGTCCGCACCACCCTCCCCAGCAACAACAATGTCACACGACTACCCCGCAGTCGACAACGACAACGCTAACTCCCTCGACGACATCTTCGGCTCCTCCCCGCCGCATGAAAACGCTCTCACCACAGCCCTCCCACCGACAACAAATCCACTCACCCAGTCAACCGAACCCTCCGACCTCCCCAGCCTTCGCCGCCAACACGTCACAGCAGGCTACCGCGACGGCACATCCGCCTCAAAGGGCGCGCACGTGCAAGAAGGCTTCGATGGAGGATTTCCCGTCGGCGCGCAGCTGGGGATGCGTGCTGGTACTGTGCTGGGGATTATGGAAGGATTGCTACGCGGGTTCGAGGAGCGGAGTGGACCGGGTGTTGTGAGGAAGCCGGTTGTGCGGGCGGGTCTTTCTGCTGCTGGATCTACGGAGGCGGATGGTGGTGGCAATACTGAAGTTGGGGAATTGCGGAAGCAGAAGAGGGAGCAGCTCCGAGTGCTATATGAAGCTGCGCTTAAGGAGCTGGATGTGCAGGCTGTTTTTGCTGGGGCTGATGGCGGCGCCGCGGAGGTTGCGCCCAGAGCCCAGGATGGGGAAGAGGAACGGGCGGAGAAGCAGCTTGGACGGAAGGGGGATGTTGTTATTTCGAAGTGGGAGGGAAGGGTTGATGTTCCGAGGTGGGAGGAGAATATGGAGGCCTTGGAGATGAAGGAGAAGGAGAAGGAGGAGGAGAGCAAGGGCAAGGGCGAGGCCCAGGGCCAGGATGTGGAGCACAGTTGAAGTTGTCTTGGATTTATGCAGACATGCCCTCGGCTTGCACAATGTGTGTGTTTGTCATGGATACGACACAAGGCTGCACTTTGAAGATCTACAAAACAATGCCCTGCCGGAGACAGGGACGGAGGAAGGAAAAGGTCTCCTCTGGTCTTGCAGACGCGAATGCAGGATTAAGTTCCTGCAGAGATGGGCCGACTGTCTCTTGAGGTGTGGGCTGCTCGGTCCCCGCTGCAGGGCAGGGTCTATCCCTGCCGCGGTAATGCGAGTATCCAAATACTTGGAACAGGCTCCGCTGCCACTGCAAGGTTGATGCGCCGGATGGGCGCGGCGGAAGGCCGGTCCGGACTGTATGTCCTCGGTTGTTTGGGATAGACTAGTTGAGTTTCTCTGAGACACACTGACGCTGGGGTTTCTGCACACTACTGTAGGCACGGGTGTTGCCATAGTGGTGGTGCGAGTTGGATTTGGGATCCGGTTTTACCTTCCTGCGATTTAAGAGACATTCATCAGGTTCTTAAAAGGATAAGCAACAGCTCAAATGTGTTAAAATGGATTCGATGAATAGGACTGAATTTGTCAGAGCAAAAAAGCAACCTGCAAAAGGCGCCTGCCTGTCAAACACGAGGAAACGACAAGTCAGATGTCACACATTGGAGGCCGACGCGTCAAGCCTCTATGTACGGAGTAGTCATTACACAAAAAAAAAAGTACCGAAAAACAGCAAAAAGGCCTGGACGTCCAAATCCCAGATCGAGCACCCTACAGCCCCACATCACAGACTCCGATAGATCTGAACCCCGCTAGGATGGCGGGTCTCGGGGACGCAATGGGCGCACAGCCGGTGGATCGACTGCCTTGCGTGTGAGTTCGGGGAAGAGCCCCGGCACAGGGAGAAGGAGATTTATATGGTCAGTCCAAATAAAACCCCTGTCTAGCGTTACCTGTCAAAGTGTCGATTGGGGAGATCGGCCGGTTGATTGGAGTTGTATTGAATAGAGAGAATGGACGTGTGATATCAGATTGGCGGTTCAATACTGAGGGGAAGACGAGGATGGCGTGGGTTTAACTTTGGATTTATCGTGCGAATTAAATTGGTAGATTTGATTCAAGCTTGTACACTTGTATGACACAGGGAGTAGAATAGATAAAAGGATATAGTTCAAGTGTTTCCAGTCGAGGTGCAAAATCAAGGTCTCGGACAATGAAGCACTTGGCCCTTGGCGGACGTTGAGGGGCCCATGCAAGGGATGAGTCTTATCCTCAGACCTGGATCTGTGTACTCCGTATATCATACTTAAGTACTGTGAGTGCGGCTGTTGGTGAGATAGTATTTGAATAAGAACAGTTCGGTGTGAAGTGAGTGAGAGGTGTACAATGGGCGCAATTGTCGGTCAGTTGGTGTTAGTTGGCATGTGCCATCCCAAGCCCTAGCACTCACTCCTCAACGCCTCGACATGTCGATCCAAGACCATCCCACATCCCCGGCCAGTGGATCCCCGCCCGCGGTCCCCGATGCAGCCGTTGTGGGGAACGTACGAATGATTGCACATCGAGAATTTGATAGGTAACCCGCGTATTCGTGTTCTCACGCTAGCGAACCCGGGATCCAGGATTCGATTCTGTCGCTCGATGTTAGTTTTCTGAAACGGCTACAAGAGGGCATCTGTGATGACGCACTACATACGTGGCCTGTTCAAGTATGGTTGTGCGTGCTCTTGCAACGGGTTGGCTGTTACAAGGCAGAAGTCAAAATCTGCTAGCTGAGGTGTTAGTTTGTCCTGGCCTAGGGGAAGGTTTAATGAATCCCTTCGCCCTTCTTGGTGGTCCAGGGCTTGCGGGCTGTGTAATTGGGGCCCCGTGCGTGGGAGTGTAGGGGCTATAATGCCTTTCCCACCAAGGTAGAGGAAAGGAGCCGTTGTTACATAGTCTCCATTACTCGGTCGAAAGGATGGTTTACGGAGGCTGCGGTAGTATCGAAGATACCTTTGAGGATCGTCTGAGATCCGCAGTGTAGCATTCCGAAAAATGTCCCCATCTCCTAGACAACGAAGTAACAAATGGCCATTCATGTTTGAGGCAAAATATGACGGTTTCTAATTTTGTCTACGTAGAAAGTATGATGCAGTGAAACAATTTTTGATGAATGCAGAACCCCAGAATGCACATTTTGGGTCATAGAAACACAGAGCACACAAGGCGCCGTATTCCTCTATTTTGTAATTATAGACAGCACATTGAGTAAGAAAATTGGTTATCGCAGCAGTGATAGGAAGACATGATTCAGTCAGACATGGATGAAGACCGTTGAGAGTAACATCGTAATAAAACAAGAGCGATGGTAATACAGCACGCGGAATAGCGCAGTCAAGACATGAAAGAAACCCAATGCAAAGAGATGACAACTAGGAAAATTAAAGATAGTTAGCTCGAGGGTATCGAGTCATGAGTCGGTAGTCATAGTCTGTGTACCAGACATGATGTTTGTTGCGTGGCGCGAGATAGCGCAATAGAGAACGTCTTTGACCTCGTCTGTGTCCAGCCACAATCGGGTCTGGAGATTCGTTATTTTCATTGGTGCGCGGGAAGCAGAATCGGAGTTTGGCGTTAGGGAGCGGACGTCTTCGTAATCATCGAGACACATTGGAGACATGAAGATAGTGATATGAAATCGTTGGAGGGATCGTTGGTAAAGTCGGTATGTTGTAGCATGGTTTCGTGTTTCGTCCGTTAAAATCAAACCCAGAGAACCGGAACGCCGAGGGGAAATGCATCATATGGTGGTAACATTGGTCTTCTTGTGAGACTTTTGGGGTTTCTGGCAGTTTAACGAACGTAGGGAGTTCATAAAACGCTGGAAGAGGGGCCTTTGCTCGCAAGCTCCAGTGATTGGGGCTTGGGAGTACCGGTCGTAGCAGAATGCGGTCAACTTCTCCTTTTCACCCTTGTCGGAATTGGAAGAGTTGGAAGTGAGGTATTCGGGGGATTCGGAGCGCTGGCGACGTCGAAATTGGGCTTGGAAGGCGGCAGCTGCGGAGCGGTCGACGTCTGAGCTGTTGACGCTGCTGTTCTTTCGGGAACGGGGAGGGCGAGTCAGAGAAGTGGATGAAGGAGCAACAAGGCGCAATGTCTGCAGGGCGATGTTCGGCCGGACAGCATCCTTGCTAGTGCTGGGGCGGTCCATGCTGGGGCGGAAAGCTTCGGGGACAGGCTCTCCGAGGATATCCTCTGGCATGCACGGGAACTGCTCAAAGGCCTGGCCATCAAGCATAGTTTGGTGAAGCCGGGGCTGTGACTTGGCGGCACGGAGCTTAGCACGGCTGCGAACCTTGCGCAGTGTGTCTATGGGCCGGCGGGACATGGATTTACGGCCAGCAGACTCGGAATCGGAGTCGGACTCCCAGACAGACTGCTCACAGAAGGCGTCGATAGTAGAGATAGAAGGCCGCTCCATCGAGGTTGCGGTCCACTGGCGGGAGATAGGTGGGGAACTAGCCACTGGGCTAGGAACAGGGCTAGGGCAGTCGTTGGCGGGGATGAAGAGAGGGTGGTCAAAGTGAGTCATGTGAGGTTCCATGGTGACGGGGTTGATCAGACATGGAGGGGAGATCATGGAAGGGTCCAGGGGAGGGCGAGCTCCAGGGTTGGATTGCTTGCGACGGGATGCGCTGGGGGAGCTCGCCGTACGCGACAGGTTGAGGACGGCAGGAGGCTGCTTCCTACGGCGGGACCGCGAGGAGCAGGATCCTGTGGCATCCTCGTAGCCCATGGTAATGGTTGTAGCAGAGTCGTTTGAGTGTTGGAAGCAATGTGTAGTAGGACGAGTATCCGCCGGGTTGAGAGGAGCCACCGGCAGGGGAGGTGGAGGGGGAAGAGAGTATGTAGGTGGTGTAGATGCAGGGAGATAGAAGCGACGACGAGGCTCGACCTGAACCTCCTGTGCGTGTTTGTACAGCTGCTGAGTGGCCTCAAGGACAGCGTCGGGGCAGCTTGGTGAATCGTAGGAAGAAGAGAATGAGCTGCTCGGTGTTAAGTCGGGAGTAGTGCTGTCTGTTTGCACGGAGCTGAACGAGACCTGGCTGCTGTGCAGCGGACTACGTTCCTCCGTGGAGGGAGTGTATCGGTGGAATCTCAAGCTATTCTCCAACTCGACCTGTGCAAGTGTGGAGCGATCTGCTCCGGAGTATTGTAGTGGGTTGCGAATGTCCTCGTTGTAGTTCAAGGACAGGGTGTAGTATTGGTTTGCGTCTTCAAAGCTATCATCGCGCATGTCCGATGTGTATGGATTCCAAGACGGCGTGGCAGCCAGTGACTCTTCGAGGTAGAATGGATCGAGATTTGACTCTTCAACAACCTTGGGGCCAGCCGGGTAGTAAGATGATCCTCGCTTCGCAGGTGAGGGCGATGGGTAACAGATGGTTGTCTCTGATCTATTCCGGTCTTGATACAACACGTCCAACTCGCCTGGACAATAAAGACCTCTGTGATCCATGGGACTGTGAGCTCGAGTAAGATAAAAGAGAAGGAATCACGAGTAACCAAGATCACAAGGATCTAAGCACAGCACAATGGATCGAAGAGAGGAGAGTTGCTGTAGGAGAGAAAGAGATGGAATGAGGAATGAAAGGACCGAAGTGGAGGCCAGGGTGAAGGGGATATGTTTATACCAAAAATAACCTCGAAGACCTAGAAGCACTACAAAGCCCCGGGTGGCTAGCCCGAAAAAAACAGATGCATGCCAATGCACAATGTAAACAACAGAAGCACAGACGATCATGACCTATCTGACCTTGCATGGTCCCCTTCCATAGGGATGGGGTTGCAGCAAGGACCCTTCGATTGGGTCCCCCAGCAAGGGCGCGCGGAACTCGATCCGTACAATAGCTCTGAGAAACATCCCGAGGCATACAATATGGATTGTATCGGTGTTGCCATGTTCTTGTGTTCTTTTGCGTTCTTGTGCTATTGTGTTTCCTGCGTGTCTGTGATCTGTGCTATGTGCTATGGAAGCCAAGGAAGTCACACGAGGAGTCGTACCACCAGATCTCACTTCAACATTTGAAATAAATTCCAGCCTGTCAGAAACAAATGTTCAAAGAAAATAATCCTACATCTGCACTCTGCAGAAGTCCTGTGCAGAGGGCTGGGATGGAAAATGTGAGATATCAGAGACAGTCTGCGGAGTTCCCGGGATCAGCCACTAATGCTGCCGATCGCCGTGATCTATATGGCCAATTGCTCTGTCACTTTGTGGCTGTACTTTAGCACTTGAAGTACTTTGTACTTTGTACTTTTGATACTTTTTAGGTCTTTGCTCGGTCAACTGGGTTGCACATTCTTCGCATTCCTAGCAACGTTAAAATTCGAGCCTCAACAGTTCGATGCCACAACGTTCCATCTCGGAAATTGTTCTTGTAGCACCTACGTCATGGGCTTCTTTTATTTAT